GTGTGTGTGTGTGTGTGTGTGTGTGTGTGTGTGTGTGTGTGTGGTGCAAAGTATCATTTCAGTAACATTTATTTAGTGAACAATACCTACACTTTCAGATTATTATTTTTTTCCATGGTTATTTTTAAATCATTCAAGGCTAAATAATATTTTAACATCAAATCAAAAATACCCCAAAACTGATCATTAAAACTATTTTACACTATAAATTAAAGGGAAACTGACACATACAGTATATGATCATATATTTTAGTTAATAATGAAATATTAAATGGTTATTTTTTCTGACCACATCATATTGAATTATTAATTTTTACACCAAATATATATATATATATATATAGTATACACATATACATAATACACACACACTCCAGCCCCGCTAAAATTGGCCTAGTGACGCCACTGCTCTAAGCTATTACCACATTCAATTTTAGCTCTTTATTACTAAAACTATACACTGTCCAATAATTATTTCCTGAAAGTTTAATTACAGTAAAATCTGTCCATGTGTTGACTCAGCATTAACATAAAAATTTTAAACCAATATTTTACACAATCTGTTAATACTCCGATACTGTACATCAATAATTATTCTTCAAGTTTCAATGTAATTTGTCCAGTGGCTTAAGAAATATTTTGCTAACAGACTCATACACACAGATAAAGATAACACTGCCATCGATGAAAGGCAAAGAGCAAGCAATGAATGCCAAAAGCAAAAATTCTAAAAACATGATGATTTTGAAGAGGAAGGCACAATTTGACAAAACAGTTCGGAAAACCAAACCCAGACCCCCCCCCCCCCCCCCAAAAAAAAAAAAAAACTGATCATGCAGCCAATTATTAGGCCAATTTTTTACTGTTTTTTTTTAAATAATTTGGGTTGACCAATTAATATAATGCAACAAAAACAAAATGTTTATTTCAGAATCATTTTACAAAACACATCAACACAACTAAAAACTACAACATAAAACACAGTAATTGGACACAGGAGGGAAAAAAACACAATATATAATTAAATAATAWATGCAGCACTGCGCACAATAATTATACTGTATAAATAAAACCCAACAACATTATTCAGAGTTTAAGAAGGAAAACACATGATGCAAAACTAAAATAAGTTTAAAAAATAGAAATGATTTTTATGAAATAAATTCACAACTGAACAGAAAATACATTGTTTGAAATAAATCGGAGAATAAATTTCTTTTATGTTGTGTGTTTTATACCACTGGGCCACCGTACTTTCTTTCCACCCAAACATCCAGTTTATTTTAGCTCAGAAGAAATAAGAAAATGTTCCTCCGACCTTCAAAGCAGTTGATGTTTCTGTGCATAAATCTGAGACATAAAGGACCAACTTCTGTTTACTTTAAGTAAATTACCTCAGCCTATAAGAAACTCTGTTTGTTTTCTGCTGCCAGGAGACATCGCCTATAAACCTATAAAACTGTGAAACRTGCTGTGGGTTTTAATCAGTCTCATCCAAAGGAAGGCTTGAATTAATTTTACTTGACGTGGCAGCACATTTATGAAATACAAGATTTTATTCAAACAATATTTTACTTTTAAAACCCATTTGATGTTACTTTGAAAGGTGCATAAAAGGGCTGCATGAAAATGACAAAAACAAAGAATCGATTTTTTAAGGAGTGTATTTTGTCTTCAGTCATTCATAATAATTATACTGCAGTAATATCATTTGTTTTTATATATCAGTAAAGGATCATTTAATTTGTGCATTGAACTCTAAGCAGAAATGAAACTTCTTTTCTTTTGTTGGAGAGCTGAACAAACACCTGCTGAAAGCTCACATAGTGAAACATAATGACTGTCTTGTCTTCTGCTGAGTCAGCTATGGGTAAAAAAAACATGTTTCTTATTTTTTTTCTTCTTCTGAAACGATTTCCTTTGTTTAAAAATGACTTGTACAATACAGGTTTTTGTTCCGCTGCAAACAACTCATCACTGAAATCCAACACAACACAGGTGATAGTGAAAGAATGCTTATTTTATTTTGTTTTGTCTTTTTTTTTAACTTCGTCTGAGCCTCAGTGAGAAGCGTCAGCTCTCTCGGTTTTAATAAATCATCTCCAGACTCTATTTTCCACTCTCGGGGTGAAAGAGGAGAGTGCGCCTCTTCAGCTTTGTCCCTTTCGCTCCTTATCTAAAGCCTGCTGCATTTCGTTCCTCGCCTCTCAGTCTCTATATTGTCGTTTTCTCTCCCTCCCTTTGCTTTTTCTCCTCTCTCTCTCTCTCTCTCTCTCTCTCTCTCTCTCTCTCTCTCCCTCTCTCTCTCTCTCTCTCTTTCTCAGTCTGTCTTTATCTCTCCCGGCTGCCACTCTCTTCTTCTCTTAAAGCTCTAATACTCACCTTCACCGCCACCTTCTTTTCCTTCTTACCTTTCTAGCCTCTCAAGTTCTTATCGTTGCTAAATTTTTCCAAGAGTTCCTCTCCTGCTCCCTCTCATCTACACTGAGCCTGCTCCAAAGGTATATCTCACTTTAGAAGTATGTAATAATTAATGTAAAACTTGCTCTCTTCCACTGTCTGCCCCTTTTTTTCAAGCATTTTCACTCTTCTTATCACTTTGCCAAATCTCTCCTCCTTTGGTAATCTTGCACTTTGTAACAGGCGCTAGGTAAAAGCGCATCATTACCCGGGGTGTGAGAACGGACCTCTAGCTCTTTGGACGGAGTGAGGAATTGATTTCTTTGCTACCTGCACACTCCATCTTATAGGTGAGCCTGATTCATATCGGCAATCCTTCATCACAGTGAGCAGGCTCAATTTTATGAGGCCTTCTTGTCCACTTATCTCTCCTCGGCTACATTTACCATGCTGAAAATTGATTACGAACATCCACCCATTTATTCTGCTGTCCACTGCCAGCACAGAAGCGACTGCGGATTATTAACATTTGATTGACTCACAAATGCATTTGAACTGAAAACTGAGGTTTTTTTTTTTTTACTAAAATATTGATTTACTAGGTAAGTTTGCAGTGACTTTCACACATGCTGGAGGCAGCACAGGCAGAAAATAATTCTCTGCCCTATGATCTGGCTGGTTATTTCAAAACTGAAGTGAACCGGTGTTTAAGAAAAGTATGAAGCAAAATAAGTTTTGTTCTTTTACATGTCAGGCTGATCTTGCTCATCTTGACATTTGGTGAATGCAGTGAGTTGAAGCCGAACCCAGACACAAGCCAACACAAGACATATTCGTGTAGGGGTCACCTCGAGTGAAGAAACAAGATTTACTGCCTCGAACAGGCCTGATGAGAGGACAGGAACTCTGTCACAAACTGAACTCTATTTAGGCCATGACAGGTCATTTCAACCCAGAAGAGAATTTCTCAGTTCTCTTAATCAGATAATGGACAGAACAATCTTTTCTGTTCGTGATTCATTTGTTGTTTAACTAAGAAAGTTTATGCATTTGTTAAATCATAATAATGACTGTCACAAGAAAGCAGAACCACTTCTACTCTTTTATCGTGCCTAAAAGATTAATTAATGGTATAAAAAACCRCAGAGAAAATCATTACAATGTTTTCATTGTGTTTTTATGTAAATCACTGTTTTTATTTTACTGTGAACACAGTAATATAATTGTAGATTTTTCTTGAGAAAATCTTTCATTTATCTGGACTAACAGAATGGTTCAGACTGATTATAAAACAGAAATGTTAATTGATCATCATAAATGTTTTGCAGTGATTTCTCTTAGAGTCTGTCGGGAGAAAGCTAAAGAAATGTTATCATATTCTGTTGAACAACCACAGAATTTAACCTTGACTGGCGCCTGGCTGGCAAGTCTCTATCTTTCTTCCTTTTTCTGACTCATCTTAACGCTTGAGGGCGGAACCAAAGTCGTCCGTCTCTATTACTAACACGGACGCCTTTGAGTGACACACTCCTTCTTCCTGGATGCCAACTTGGAAGGAAGGCTAAGTTTCTCTCCGGAGAAGCCAGTTTTGGCTCGTTAGGTCTTGCCCATGATCTAACAGCCGAGACAGCATCACTCCAGCCGGATATCCCACCCGAGGCTTCTCGCCTCCAAGTGGTTTTAACTCCCGAGGGGAGATTTTATTTTGAAAGGAGGAACCGGACGACAGCTTGAATCTTTCTGGCTTGGACTGAAACAGACGAAAAGTTACCTGAAATAACACCTTTCTCGCCAAGGAACAGTGAGCGAGCCGATTAAAAAGTTCCCTGACTGATCGGAGGTGAGACAGTTCCCTACCCAGGGGTTGCTTAAGAAGCCATCACCAGGTAAAACTGACGTGTTCCAGGTGACTTGTCATGTGGAAACTGAGTGCAGAAGGGACGTGCTGATCCGGTTGGACCACACATTTGATAAAGTAAAATTAGTATAATACTAACCTTACTTTCATCCTTTTCTTTATTCTTTATTTGCCAAAACTTAAGCTTGAACGTGCCAGTAAAATTGTTTGGTTGTAACATCAGAACTGACGTTTTACTGTTCTGTATAAGTAATCTGAGTTGATGTGAATTAAAATTCGGACGCGAGTTTTTATCTCATTTAACTTTGAAGCTTGTTATAGGAATAACCACAATCAAGTGTACTTATGATTTGTTCGATTTGTGTAAATAAATGATTGCATAGTCTTTATGAATCAACTTGAACTCGTCTGAACGTCCACTTATTGTGTCACTTTTCACTTCGCACAGTCAGGATATTAAAAGTAATGAGAAAATACCTTGGTAAAACTTTCCTCATACTTTATGTATGAGAGATGTAGGAAAAGCTTAATTCACCCTAAGCTTCACCCCTACACTCGTCAGATGCTTTGCTGCATCGGTTATTGATGCGTGGGGACGGGTACCCCCCTCTTGTTAGGGTCAGCGTTTAAGTTTAGGGATCAGGGTAACTAGTTAGATTTAGGTAACGAGATCAGAGGTTGGACGTTTAGGGTTAATAGAGGTTAAGTTTAGGGTTATGAGATCTGTCTATAGAAAAACACATAAAGAATCTGGTTTCCACATGCTACTTTCAGCTTCGTAATATCTCTAAACTCCGGCCCCTGCTGTCTATTTCAGATTTGGAAATGGTAATTCATGCCTTCGTTTATAGCCGCTTAGACTACTGTAATAGCTTGTTCACCTGCCTAAACCAGAAACAGTTAAATCGTCTTCAGCTTGTCCAAAACTCAGCAGCAAGACTCTTAACTCGAACCTCCAAATTCACCCACATCTCCCCGATCCTAGCAGAACTTCACTRGCTTCCGGTTCAGTTCAGAATCCGGTTCAAAATCCTGGTCCTCACTTTCAGAGCTCTTCATGGCCAAGCACCTGAATTCATTAAAAGTCTCATTACCCCTTACAACCCCAGACAGGACCTCCGCTCACAGGATCAAAATCTCCTTATGGTTCCCCTTACTCGCTTCAAGACTCGTGGTGACTGTGCCTTATCCTCTGTGGCCCCCAGGCTCTGGAATGAGCTCCCTGTTAATCTGTGCTCCCTTGATAACGTTGTCTCCTTCAAGAAACATCTAAAACCCCACTATTTTACTCAAGCTTTTAGCTAACCTTTCACCATTAATACCAGCCTACCTCCATAGTGAATGCTCGCCAACTACGTGTTTTTCTATTACTGAACATACGGCATATTTTTCTCTCCCCCATTCTCTATGTTTTTTGTATTATTGTATATTTTGCTCTGCATTGACCATGTGTCTGAGTTACAGTTTTATAAATTAAACCTGATTTGATGTTTCATTACGTTGCTTGTTTTATTCTGTTTCATTTTATCTCTCCACCATATTTATATTGTTGAAGATTGTACAGCACCTTGTGAATATATTTCTGTGAAAGGCGCTTTATAAATAAAATTTTGCTTACTTACTTACTTACTTACTTACTTACTTACTTACTTACTTACTTACTTACTTACTTACTTACTTACTTACTTACTTACTT